GACCGCCCTAAATCCGTCTGTATGCAGACCTAATTAAGCTCCTTCTACTTACCGATGATTGTGTGATGATACCAGTGTAAGCGGCTTTCAGATAGAGTGTTATGAAACGCACCAGTACATTTTCGCGCCCTGTTTCAGGCAATTTCATCAACCGATCCACTAGCCCTTAAAGCAAAACAACAGTTACAGATACCACAGTTGTTCATTTTGTATTCCCACTCATCGATATCGATCACAGACGACGAAAATATAAATACTATTACATGAAAAGTACCATTAATTAAGGGATAATTTAACATAGCTGTGACCGCAGAAGCAAAATTCCGTTAATCATATAACTCGAAAACGGACAAGTTTCCATCTTCTTTCACTTCCCCCTTTTTTTCTCTTTTTTTTTTCTTTTTTTCTTTCTTCTTATGCACTGCGACCGCCATACTGACGAGGTCCAGTCGCAGTGTTAAGACGTATATGACTTAACGGATCGAAACGTCTTATCCCGCTCTCACCTTCTTTAATCTACGCTACTACTTCCTCCTAACTCCCTCACTCTCTGCTACCTGCACTATCAGGGTTAACCTGAAGGCTGCAATCTGCTTAGAATCTCTTGCACACACATACACATACACACAAACGCACGTACATATACACATACGCAAGTATACACACATGCACATACACACATCGACACGCACATACGTGCAGACAAACACACACATACATACGCACAAACACACACATACACACAACATACATACACACACACAAAAAAAACACACATACATACATAAACACATATATACATAAATAGTTCGAAAACACTTCCAGAATTAATCCGCTCACTGACCAATAATTTTTTTAAGTCCAAATTTAAGATATCCTTATAACTTCAGCAAGTAGTCTAGCATTCGCAAATCTCAATGAAAAGCCAAGAGTTTCGCAAAAATAAAAATTATGCGAAAATGGGAAAACTTTCACCTCTGTTTCGGAAGTTGGTCAGCAAATCGTTCATCAAATATTGCACTCCTCGTGTTGCAAGTACCGAATACATTCCCAATGAGGATGGCGCTTGCTGATTTGTGTCAAAATTCCAATTTTTCGACAAATACTTCATTATCCAGCCAAGATGGATTGCATGTAATTTACGCCGCCTTACATTTGCCCATCGTTCTTCGTTACTTGAGCGCTATAAAAGAAAATGCATGTAAAGATGTGAACTGAAGAAATTGAACTCCTAGATGCGATCGGAATAGAAGTAAGGAATAGGAAGGGTAGAAAGGGCCATGGAGGCCCACCAAGATGCTTTATTTAGTCTGTTCTCATAAATGGCGGTTAGGAGGCTGTACTGACAATCCTCACTTCCACTCGCATCAGATGCTCTGTCTGTGTTTACAGCTAAGGGATGAAACACTCGCATCAGATGCTCTGTCCACTCGAATCATTC